TTGACAAAATCAGACTGAGAGAGGAAAAGCCAGGTTTTAGAAGAGTAAGTAACAGAAATTAAAATACTGTAGAACAAACTTTTCAGCAACAGGCCTTACTTGTTTATTAAGTGGTGTGTGATATGTACGAAATGCTGATGCTTGAATGATTCCATCCTTGTAGCCTGATGACAAATGGAAGCAATTAGACCAAGTTCGAAGAAAGTTGAAAACTATGTTATACTTACCTGGCCAGTTAAACTTTTTCCAGTTATGTAAGATCTTCTAAAGTTTGATAAACTGCATTTGTCGAATGAACTGATTAACCTTTTACCTTTAAGCTCGACATTGTTTGTATAAGCCCCATTTCCGCCTTTTGCACAATCAGAAGAAGGTAAAGCACTGAGGAACCACGGAAGCTTCCCCCTAAATTGCGCCGTGGATGGACGGGCATTTTGTAAATCTAAGTGTCGGAAACACTGTATAACTTCAATATTAGTCACTAAACGATTAAATTTCAAGTTATTAACTGTAAGTGATCTTTAGACCCCAAAATAGGAGGGAGACAACTATATTAAGCACAAGTAATTACAAGTCCATACTTGCACTACATGATTATTTCTAAAGTACAAGTAATTTGAAATTGAAAGATGCTCTAGATTCCAGTTACATCATATATACCAACCAATAAGGATTAGAAGAGTTAAATTACCGTTGTGCAATCCTTGCACACTGTGCTGAGGCCACAGGATCCATCGCTTGACGAACAACAAGGAGGCTGAATGAATTTTTTTTTATCAGAAACCAATTATGTAGGATTCAACTGTAAAGAAAGATGATTGTGGAACAATATAATTCCCAATTCAGGTGTAAACTTTTAAGACAAAATGAAGAGTTAAACATTTGTCATACAGAAAATGCATAGTAGAAGTGAGAAATGAAAGACCTGATCATCAGGGGGACAATAACTCCCATTTGTGAATTTCCTACAGCATCCAAAAGCATCCGGAGAGATCCAAACAAGAAAATCATCAAGCCACGAAGCTGCAGGTTTTGCAATGTAACTCGACTCCGGTACTAAAGAAGCTCTTGCAATCTGCAGAAGTTAGATTTAGAAATAGATAATAATGATGATGAAATAAGTATAAAATAAAAATTGAATATTATTAAAGAAAAATGTGTCCTAATCATTTACTATAGAAAAACAACCTGAGATGCCCAGTCTCGAAATTCTTGCTTATGCTTTAAATGTTTTATTGTGGTTTTAAGTTCTTCGTTGACTAATTATTGAGACACAGAGAATCAGTGACGAATTAAGAAATTGAATATGAAACAGAAAATACAAGGAAATGAAAGGGTAAGTGACAAATTCTAGAAGATCTCTTGGTTCTTTAATGAATAAACTTTCACTTACAACCAAAGCAAAAGACCTGTAAGATTGAGTAAGATTAGCAATCATGTGGTTTGCTATCCTTGTTGAAAATTTAAAAAGTTGGCAAGTTTATCCAACGCAAGAGATAAAACTCAAATAACTTGTTTGGTAGGATAGACTGTACAGTACTAGTACTGGAAAATAATGAAGAATTTTAGTGTCCAGTCATGCCAAACATGCAATAAATGAATATGAACCCCATCCTTCAGGATTACAAGCAGAGGGTAAACAAGTAGGAAAAATTCATAGTTGTTCAAAAACATATTGAACTACGTTTGCACAGGTCACGATCTCAAGTTCAAGATCTCTGATCGACAGGAAAGGCAATTTCAGATAAGATCAGATTAGACAAATTTATTCACTTGTGTGAAGTGTTAAAGTTGAACTTCAGCTAGAAACTAAGATTTTTAACTCTGCACAAGACAATGGTCTTACCTCATTTAAAAGAGAATTAGAATCACATTGGCTAATAGAGCAAAGCTGGTTGGTTTGTCTTGATTCTGAACTGAAGAAAATAAATAACACAAACATGATAAGAATTTCAGTATGATGAAAAAAATAAACATATCAAATCAGGCATATACATTATCCCAGCACAAGTGACTTATAGAAACACTTCCCTAAAAATGTAAAAAGGAAAATAAATTAAAACCAGCAAATATTAAATCAAATGTACATAATAAAGAAAAATGAAAAAATATTCAAAATACCTATAGTTGTAATTTTTCACAACGAAGTACAGTGGTGGTCCAATTCGGAGATACTCAGATAAATTATTAAAGTAACCCTGCAAGGAGAGAAGATATATCCATTCACGCCACTTCTTAGGACACCATGAGAAGATCCATTTTTCTAAAGAACAAATGTAATCA